AGTTCAAACTAAGATGGTATCTGCAAAGCTAGTTGAAGGTTCGGAAAACAAAGTTATTTCTTTTACTGGCATCAATCATTTCATTAGCTAAGGTTACGCCAGAAATCGCTTGTTCTCAAACACAAACTGTAAAAATCTACTATACTTTAGCCATTTTGCGAATGGTTTAAATTCCATAGACGTCTTCCATCGGCCGGCATTTTTAAGTGATACCAACACACACTACTTACCGCTTAAATTGATTGGAGTGTATAATTTATGCAAAACAGTTCGTTATGTGCGTTTGTTGGAATGAATTTGGATACGGTGTTTATAAGTACCCAGTTTATCTCAAATTTACCTGGAGAAATAATCTTATTTTTGGTTTTTCACCTATGATAAACTAGAAGTTGGGATTTGTACGTCAATTTTGCGCGTAGATTGCTCCGACCCTAAAAATGGTCGATAGATGAAGTGCGGAGTAAGGGCAACTGGAAAGAGTTGAGCCCCTCTTCCGCAGAGAAAATGGAACTCGATGACGTTTGTTGGGCATCCCGATCAACTGTGAAGTTCGACAATCGATCCTCTGTACACCGCTGCTTTACTTCTATTTTTACGCCAAAATTTGTCAACGTCGCATCCCTTCCCAGCATGTTCTGCGGTCTGCTTTTATAGCGAAATAATCTGCTCCTGTTGTCGTTCTGTGCTTGCAGCTTTCCTTCCAGCAAAATTGCATACAGGAGTACTTCAGTTGACGCTGCTATTAAACATGTGTGTATGGACCATGCATCAACAAGGAATATTGCAGGTCACATAGTGCATTCCTGGGAGTATTTAAACCGCGTTCAAATACACTAAGCAGGCAGGACCCTAAAATCGATTTTCTCTTCGCTCACAACATATGTCCTTATTGTTTGACGAAACGGCGGATGGTGAGGATGCGAATTTCACACCAAAGATTTACAAACTCTGGTATCCTAGGTTGGAAGATTCAACTATTTGCTTCTGGCACTCGCAGAAGGTACGCTACAGGCGCGAAATTGAACCACATTACAACATCATAATATTGGAGGGAGTTTCCACTAGTGAGATCATTCAGCGCTGTTACCAACTTGTTAAGGTACCTCGACGGCATCTGGATGAGTTTACTGTCCCATTTGTCTCAAGGATTCATAGGAATCCTGAGGCGGAGAGTCAGACCACGTTAAAGGACAAGCCCCCGTGAGTCGAACAAACAAACTCCAGGTTGTAACTAAGCAGACTTCGGCAATTTTCTATTTGCTTTGCGGTACTAGACTGTCTAGTATAGTTTTGCAAATTGCTAATCCAAGCTTTGCATTTACATCTGTCTTGTCGGCAGTGTGCGATCCAAGTCCAGGTCCAAATAAATTCCTTCTAATGAGACACTCATCTGCCACACATATGGAAGAGCATTAGTAGACCAATGTAACCCGTTAGGGCTCGCTACTATCGTGCATTATTAATGCAAGGTAAAAAGTTAGAAACCGAATCCTTTCATAGAAATGATCATATCCCTAGACCATGCACGATGTGGTGGCCTCTGTGTCTCGGTGATAAGCTGCGATGTCGAGTGACCCATATTCTTTTGAAATGCACTTTATCAGAGTACTAGCGACATATTTATTCCTCGGTGAAACGACCACAAAGTCCCTCTTAAGAAGTCAAATCTAATCTTTTATGACTCAGGCATAACTGTTCCATCAAAGACAGGCTGAACGACGATGTGTAGTGGCGATGAACCCGAGCGTGCAACTGGTGAATGAAGCGAGTCAACCTTTTCTCTACAACCTAACGAAACCTATAAAGGAAAATAACATCTATTTATTTGCACCTTTTTCGGCAACCAAACTACAAAACCATAACGAAGGAGCTGCTACCGTGAGAATGCACACGTTAGAACACCGATAAGATTCGAGTAGCACGATGGCCATGGAATGCGACGAATCGCGAATTCGGCAAAGAATATATTGCGAACGTCCGTAGGGTTGCGCTTATTCGGTATACAATGTAGAAATAGCAAGTTTTGGTGGCCTACCGGCTGTTACGTTTTTTTCTTTTGACTTTACAACTGGTTGAACAGTGTCTGTCAAATGCAGGGAACGAGATTGGGGCCGCAATTGCGTCCATAAACGAAGATCAGCGTGTACTTTTAAGGCAGTAATTTTAGATGCATTCATCAGTGTGGGATTTTGCTTTAACTGGTTGAGAATTCGTCGCAGCAGGTTCTTAATCAAGTAGTCGTCCACATGCTTGGAAAAGCACTGGACTGCAATTGCAACCAGTTGGGTATCATCAGTAGTGCGCATCCATCGGATCCTGCGGGTTTCGAACCAGTGAGCACCAGCGGCTTGCACCGACAGCCAGCAGCTTGTGCCAACTGCGATATAGCGCGTATTATCCTTTAATGCCAGGGTTGGCCCCGAAAGACGCGACGTCCACTGACAACAGCTTGGTACGATATAACGCAATTAATTATTTCAAAATCCCTTACACATCAGTGTCATAAAGTATATCGGCCCTAACGGTTTCTAAATGCTATGTCGTACCTAGCTACTGTCAGTGGACGTCGTGTCTTTCGGGGCCAGCCCTTTTATCTGCAAAATTCGTAAGTTGCATGGCAGTGGAGGATAAGCCGCCCTATATCACAGTCTGCTTGGAAATCATGACAGTTCGACACTGACCCCGTGGCCCAATGACATAAGCTGCTGACTGGCGATGCAAGCCGCCGGTGCTAATTGGTTCGAAACCCGCAGGATCCGATGGATGCGCACTACTGATGATACCCACCTGGTTGAAATTGCAGTCCAGTGCTTTTCCGAGCATGTGGACGACTACTTGATTTGGAACCTGATGTGACGAATTCTCAATTAAGCTTATGTGTCCAACGGACCGAGTAGTTTATGCTCCATTTTGCAAGCAAACTTGGTAAATATGTTTTCGCTTATTTTATTAGTAACTGAAGGTTTTATGCTGAAAAACCCAAGCCAATTAATTTGAGAATTATTTAGAGTAGCTATTATAAAAGACGATCGACACCCTTCTCCATATTGCGATTAAGGAGAGTTGTGCCGTAGCAGAGGTTAGGGTTATTCTAGCACAAATCCATCTAAAGCACCGAAAATTTGGATATACAGCATACTAAATAGACTGTACTGACACGTTGCAGTACTTATTCTTAAGGATAAGCTTTTGTATTAGGGAGGTAAACAGAAAAACAGTCCCAATTTCAGAGGCATGGGGATGCCTCATCGATTGGTTTTCGTGGGAGGTTTTAAGAGTAAGCAATTTACGTACATATAGGCTAATGCGTAGCTGTCCCGCAGCTAGCACCATTTGGCTAATCTCCCAATTGGCACATATTTTTAATGTAATGATTATCCTGAGTCGCGGCCACATCTAAGTGCAAAAACTAGTCCTCTGGGCCCTTAAACGGAATTCATGCGTTTAGTCGAGTATTAAAATACATAGTTTCACGCCTCAGCCCCACTACAAACTTTTTATCATCCAGGTGTCAGACAACAATATGAACTAATCTCACGTCTACAGGGTGGTTCAGCAAAACCAAGGGAAACGGTATCATAACAGATAACATGGAAAACGCAGTAGGTTTGCGCATCATTCGTGGATATTTGCTACCTGTCACCACCGCAAAATACCGTCATAGCACCACACAAAATCTGAAATATGGATGACAACAACACTGCTAGAAAGCGACGCGTCCAGTGAATACGAGGAAGACTGCGCCGACGATTCCCTTTTATAAACGATTAAACATAGAGCAGATTAGGACTTAGCTATTTTGCTCTCAGTTCAAGTAAAGACAACTATTTGGCGTTGATCCATTTGGTATTATCTAGTAACTAAATTTGTTCACTGTTGACCGGTTTCCTTTTTGTACGAATAAATGATTTTGCAACAGCCTGCTTCAGCCTAATTCGTAGAACTACGAGGTAGATCACATTCATCATCCGCCGGACGGTACACCTATGCATGTAGACCATATTTGGAGACCGTTTTCCGTGATGGCATCATTAGGGCACCAGTTCACAATGACCAGGGTAGTTTGAAATAATCACTGGAGTTGTCCAAGATCCAAAACTAACGCACCTGTGTTCTGCGGAGAGCGTTCAAGCGGTCAAAGTCGTAATTATTAGCCTATTTCTAGCACTTAATTGCGGTTCCTAGTAAAATACACTATCCAGACCTTGGAACGCTCGCGGAAGTAAGATCTCGTCGCTCTGGAGATTCCATAACGATGAGTAGCCAAATCCGTTAGGGGGACTGTTGCACTCTCCGTATTAACTCAGATTGATGGCATTAAGATTACAGACGTCTACAGAGCGATCTTTAATGGCACAACGGATCCTGAAAGACGCCAATGATTTTTGTCTCTGACTTTGGAAATAGACACAAAATGTAGACAAAACTCCTTCAGGTTAAGTTGGTAACATAGAACAGTGGATTGGGATGTTGTTGAAAATTTTTTTCCCTCTTCTATGCCTGTGATGGAAGCCGTTAACTTACTCGTAGCCGTAAAGCACCTGGGCGCCACGCTTACCCTCAGCACTACATAATATGTCCCATGTACATAAGGAGATGATCTAATATAACAAACGGTGTGCTCATAAGCATGTCCCGCACATTGAATTTAGGCACCTTTTCAAGTGCCTTCGTGTGAAAACTATGCTGAGTTTACCAAAGCACTCTCCGTATTTTCACCACCTCTCTTCACAACTTATGGTACGCATCCTGTTATTTTTCCGGGACTTTTGTTTTGACTTTTGTTGTGACGTCCACTATAGCATCGTTCCGTTGTTTACATCCTTTGTAGCGAAACGGAGACCGAAGAAACCCCCACTTCGCTTGATTTGAGTGTGACAGCTTTCTAAAAGCAGAAAGCTACTCAGCAGATTTAGCAGCTCAATGTTTGTACATAACACGTTTGAATTTTAAATTATAGCTTAAGTCCTCTGGTGGGTGGTCTTGTTAAACAAACTTACTCGTTGTTTCTCTTCGCAGAACGTGCTTGAAGAGCTGCACAACCCAAGCTGCTGCCAGTGACAGATGAGGTGTAATGTCAGCAACATGTGCTACAATACTATGTGAATGATCATTAAAGGAGGAGAAAACCGCCATTTCATCTGCACGAAATAGCCGGGCAAACAACTTTTGCAACGTTTGATTAGAGTATGGCTGTCATGGTTAATGGGCGCCGTGAGGGACAAAATTTTGCAACGATCAAACAGACAATTACTTTATTTACCTTATCCTTCTGATAAATTTCGACACGCCATTTTCCCCAACCAACATACTCCAGTCTACTCCCACGTATCATTTGAACCATGCACATATCTCATGAAGAGTGGCTAAATGGTAAACCACCGAAGTTTATTTGCACTGATGAACCCGGATACCAAACGCATTATGTTTCATCGACTTTTAGGTGGAACGGCAAGTATTTTACCGCGGTATCTCCAACTTAAATCTGCGCACCATCATGGTTGAAATGGTACCAGTACCCTTATCCCTGACGAAGCTTTAGCAATCGGGCCATTTTGGGGGCTAGCCCCGTCCCTTGAAACTCCATAGCATGTATGAGAGTAGAGGATGAACCACAGTGTATGACAGTTCCAGATCAGTCTCGGCGGTCTGGCGCCGTCACCCATGGCACACTGGCATAAGTAGCCGACTCATCATGTTTTCGGAACCGAGAAGATCTGTCGGATGCACGCTACTGACGTGTTCCTATCGAACGAAACGGCCTTCTGGCGCATTGCTAGATGTGTGTCGGCTGTCTGACTGAGTAGATGTAGGACAAATGTTCTCAAAACACGGGAAATTCATGTATTGCTTTCTAGTAACATGGATACTAATTCGTCCTATTGACATTAGATATTATGCTGGTCGAAACTGAATACAGCTGCAGTTGCACACCAAAGCAAACATGATTACAGTTGTGAACTATACAAAGAAATAAACATCACCTAGTTGTTAAGTTCGTGTTGCTTTTAAACAAACCGTAGGCCGAAACCCTCCGAAAACCACAAAGTCAAACCCACAGCAGACACTGCTTTTGGGCTGGGGTTGTCTTAAATGCACGGGTTACTTAAGATGGCAAAAATGCTACCAGAACAATCGCCTTGCCTTAGAAAGACGCTTGCTTATTGACAGATTGCTGTCAGCACACTTTGCTTGTCCATATATCACTTAGTGCCGTGGCTCACATTCTACCATCCTACCGATAATAGCTCGTGCATCATGTAAAACATTTAATTAACCTTTGGAATAGTGTAGTACTTTAGCAGAGGATGTTACTATAACGACTGTGACTTTTCACCACAGCTAGACTCAGTTAAGCAGTCAACACACGCAAATATCGCCGTTCCATTTCACTGAGACGAGTAAGCAAAGTGCACCATTCCCGAATTTCATGACAATTGTTACCATGTCACCATGTTGCGGGCCAGCTATAGTGTAGTGCGAGTGATCTTCAACTGCCCACTGCATTGCAAATGTGCAACCCATCAGTTACTTCGCCAAGCCACAAGTCATACGATAGCTACCTAGGCGAGAAATGATGCGAAGTGGAGCAAAGCTGGACCGATATGCTACACTTCACTTGTCAGTTCAGTACAGAATGTGAGCCTTTCTAAGTCTGCGTATTTTCAACGTACAGGTTATGGGCAGGGTGTTCAATTAGGTGTTTGTAACTGGAGGCGAAATATGCGCAAAACTTCCTTTAGGTGAGAAATTCTACAGACGATATTCAGACATACTGTACACAATAATTGCCCAACTTTAGGGCGCGCAATGGGTTGCGAACGTCAAATTATTCCTCGCTAAATTGAAGCGCAGTCCAATGTAGGAAACTGTTGCGAATTTTGACGATTGAATCACACACCCGGAGATAACACCCTCCCTGTGTGGGTTGGAAGTGTATTTCGATCGGATTTGAGAGAAGGCAAGGATTATGCCTGTGACCTGGCTTGATGTATGCTTAACACGACAGTATATTGCAGTGTAGACATTAAAATTATCTTTGACTGCAAGCCTTGCGGGTTTTTCTAGCTATGCATTGCAAACGTGGGTTGATAACCTGGATCATATCTAGGGAAGACTAGTCCAGAAAAGGTGGCTGAAGGGGTTTCAAAGCTAAACATATACCCAACCGTTACATCAGTAGCCGTGCCTATATTTGCTCTTTACACGGATCATCATTCACGACAATCCAAAGGTTTGCCACGTAATCGTAACCTCATTGTAATCTCTCCTTTAACATTAACCGTTGTGGCAAGCGTTGCTCTCTGTGACTCGGTGGCTTAGGGGTAGAGGTTTGATCGAAAGCCGAGAGGTCTCCGATCCGCGCCACAGCAGATTACGAAGCCGATGGTACAGCATTGTGAGGGTATTCGGGTCTTCTTCGTGCTGAGTGGATTGGCTGTAGATGTTTCATCATCCATATTTAGACACTGTGTATGAAGCGCTGAGAAGCAAACTGTTAGGGAAGTGGCTACTTAACCCTCAGATTCATGAATTATTTTGGTTGCCTATTTCGAATTTTTTTGCGCAGTTACCTGCTTCTCTGCTACATTTTGGACACGCCGCTTTCCTCAGCCTCATTCGCAATCGCTCATAGCTGACTTCAGCCGTCTCACTCTGTGGATATTCTGATTGGTTTCTTTTGCTCAGCGTTCCTTAACTTTTTCACGTGAATGTATTATTCAGCCGACACATATTTATTATACATGTTTTTATTTTCCTGGTGTGTATCATTCTCACTATCAACTGTTTTGGCATTTGTTTAAACGCATCACTTCTCCACACTGATTGGACGCTACTCGTCGTATTTAATGGTCGCTCACCAGAAGGTTACCCCCAGGGATTAACTCCGCAGACACTATTTTCTTTGCCGCACTTCATTGGCTCGTAATTTTCGCGATTCTCATTTGCTTGTTCCATTTTGTGTTTTATCCATGCCTTTTGGATCTCATGCGTTTAGTAGCTTGGATTCGCCTTTGTTTGTAAAGCTATATAACTGGTGCCGTGCTGTAACAGAAGATCTGTTCATCCCGGCTCATCTTGGACTTCTTCTTGCGGTCGTGGGGTGAAGGCGTACTGAGCGTCACAACACAAACCAATAATCCGCCTCAGATCACCAAGACAAAGAAAGGTCAATGAGAAAGACGTTAGCCGAGGGAAAGAAAGAGCTGAATGTACCGTCAACTCACGTGGATCCATCGACTCCTGCCGTTCGAAACAGTAACTGATAAATAATCACTTGTGTCTGGAGGTTGCCCGCTTATATCACGCTGATGATGTCGTCTAGTCTGACGATGGAACAAATGCAGCCAAGTCACCCAGCTAGGGGGACACCCGAATACCCTCATCCACATCCCGAGCGACAAATATTCTCACGAATTTCCGGTGGAGCATTGTGTTGCGTGCAGTCGTTACCAAATATTCACCTTCAGATACAGTCCTAGTGAATGGTTTGGTTGAGCATTATTTCAAAGTACGTCACACCGCAAGTTGATGTGCTTCGTGAGTAAACTGACCTCCACTTACCGAACTAGGTTCAGCGCGAAGTTACTCAGTCCACCTCCGACGATACGTGCTCGCGGAAGTTGCCGGCGTCCTCTATATGCAGGCACATCCTGGCGACTTGTCACTGGGTTAATCCCTTATTAGTGTTCCGGACCTTGTTACGTCATGCTAATGCACGCCTTTCACGATTTGCCGAGGTCGTCGCGATAAGTCCAATTAGACCAGCTTTGTGTCCAAAAGCAATTAGCTGTTAACCTGCGGTTGCCGTGGACCTAATCCCAACAACAACAATGACCACCACCAGAAATTTGGTTGGTTTGGCTGCGCCGTGTAAGATATAGCAAAGAATTTCCCTGTTATTGTATTGGTACTGACGAGATAATACGAAATGCTAGCATCTGCTAATATTTCTCTTCTCATTTCATCGTTCGGACTCCAAAATTCAAAACTAAATCTTTCCTGAATGGCGACTTAATATTTCCAACTGACCACACTTATTTCAGTTTTCTCCAATCCTTATGCTTTGGACCATTTGTTGATCCCTAGTTCTTACATCATCATCTTTTTCGACAATGCATCAGCCAACTGAGCAGATGGTTCGTTGGCGTCCAGGCATTATGAACTGCGGAAATAAAAATAATGACAGAGAAAATATAGCGGGACTTAGCATAAAACCTAAATGCTCTTAGAGAAATCATTAATTATTGAGGCGCTAACATAATGTCAACAACCTGAAGTCGCAAACAAACAAGGTGGCATCAACCGCACTCCTGGTACCGACTGCAAGCCATGTCCTTTAACGTCTCGTGCCATGCACTTGGCGGGAGGACGGCACGGACCGACGGCACCGAGTTTGCTCGCCACTAACTTCATTTCTCACCGCCATGTTAACTTTTGCCCACCTCGGACATTGCGCCCTCTTACATCTTGCATACAAAACATGGTCCTCCTCGGTAAACGATGACTAGACATACGTAGTCCGGGTCCAAGCCACTTAACTTACTCAATACTATTTGCTGTTCTAGGGAAATAGAATGTTTACCAACAACTAGCATTTACCTACACACATCATAATTGCGGACTCGCTGGTGCTATTCGACAGCAGCAAAGCTTCTCAGAGAGCGACAATAAAGGTGTTGAGTTGATTTCAGTGCGTATGGGTTCATCGCTATTGATGCAGCTGCTAAAGTAAGAGAACTGGTCAAGAACCTCGACCTATCGCTTGCGAGGATCAAAAGGTCATCAGGTGGCCGGTGGTCCTGCAAAAACAATTCAATTTTAAGGTGCGAAGAGCATGCCAATTGATGGGGCTGCTCTAGAGAGGATATTTTGGGTTGCTTGAGTCACCCCAAAGCAAATCCAGTTCAACCGCATAATAAAACTTAACTAACATTCCACCAGACAGCACCTCAATTCATGCATGGTGAGATTCCCCAAGGGAACACTCCACGATGGAGTTTACGACGAAGTTGAACAAAAGTAGGATACTGGGCAACCTTAACGAAGGACACTTGTTGTCAGGAAGATAACCAGCAAGTCGACGTAAACCCTGACGCCGCCGTTGGTGCTGGAGTATCGGGCCCGTAAAATAT